TGCCTATAAAAGATAAGGAATGCCAAGTCCACTCCAATCTCATCTGCGCTGAACCACAGAGTTGGCATTTTAAGAGTTTTAAGTCAAGTGTTGCATCCAGTGAATGTCAGGGACCCTCCACATCTGCCACATCACCCAGCACAAAGCAGAACAATTAGAGCAGCAGGAACTAATAAATCCATGCTTACAGCTTGTGCCTGGCTGAGCATCTTGAAGCAACGATGCGACTCACAGGGAGTATGAACTATGACAAATCACAGACAACCACAACATGTTTCATATGCAGCTGAGTGATGCACTACTTAGTTTTCATCAAACTTATTTTGAGAGAGATACAGGGCTGGTAATACCTTGAGCTGGAAGTCCTTGACCAGCCCCACATGCTGCAGCAGCGCCAAACCAACCTCATTGTGCTCAGGATGTGAGAGAGAAATCAACACCCACGTGCCCTGCAGTGCTGGGACAGCTGCAGGAGCTGCTGTCCTGGAGTGCATTCTAATCAGTTTTGGGAGATCAAACTCTTTTTTGTCAATAGGAATCAGTTATGCTTTAGACAGAATTAACCTGGACTGTGTACTAATAACCATCAAAGGTTCCCATTATTTACCATTCCTTGTCCAAAACACTGAGCTGTGCTTGACACAGGCAGTGCCTTGGAAAGCCTCAACCTCTGCCAGGCTAAACACTCTCTGCTGCTGGATCTGCCCTTCCCAGAGCCCTTCCCTCACTGAGCTGTCAGACACGAACTCCTAGAAGGCTCTGACGAGGAACAGGACCCAAAGGACCTGCAAGAGAACTATGTAACTCCTACAGCTCCCCCACACCACCAAGTACAGAGACATGAATAACCTTTTGTCTGCAAAGTGGCTCCTTTTTGTTCTCCTCAGCCTTAACCTCCTGTTGAGCAGCTTCTTTGGGTGTGTTGACTGCTAACACGTCGTTGATGGTGGAGCCCACGACCATTATTTTTGCTCCGTTTGTGACTTTGATTTCCCGCAACGTTTTCTCCTCTGGCAGAAGTCCCTTGAACATAACTTTCTGCATGGCTGGGGGGAGCCCTGGGGAGAAGCACAGCGATTAGGAGCCGGCAGGGCCGGGGGAGGCGCGGCCGGGCGGGGGAGCCCCGACAGACCTGTGAGCGAGTGGATCTTCTGCTTTAGCTCGGCCCCCGTGCTGTCCAGGCAGAACTTCACGTCGTACTTGTTCTTGTTCCAGATCACCTTCAGCTCCACCAGCTCCCTGCCGCCCTCC